CCTTGTAATACTACACTTGACTTTAGCCAATTTTGCCAAATATATATTGCAAGATAAAAGGACATTTAAGTGTTGGATGAGAGAGTATGTGCCCTGTTCCCATTAGTGCCTAAATCCTCACTCTCAGCAGCTGCCATATGCCCTGCCTAACATTTCATCATAGCAAATGTGCCTACTACTCCTAATGAGAAAAGCTATATAAGAGTGTGAAATCTCCCTGTTTTCATGCAAGTGTGAAAATTATCCAGATAGTCTCCCCTTCCCAATTTCAGAGTTCAAATACCCATCCCTTCCAAAAAAGATTATAAAAAATAATTAAGCAGAATAGTAAGCATTTTCTAGAAACAATTTTGGGTCTCCAGTGTAATAAAATCATACTGTAAAAAATACAATCAAGAACTAACAGACGAATGAAAAACTTCTAACATGATAAAGATGGAGAGTAAAAGAGAAAAGAAAAAGCAACTTTGGAGGAAATCCATTATTCAGTAAGAAGAAAACATCAATTATCATTAATACCCTTAAAAATATAAAATGCTGGGCCGGCCTGGTGGCGCACTGCTACAGTGCGCCGCTTGGGAGCGTGGTGGCGATCCCACCGAGGGTTCGGATCCCACATGCAGACCGGTTCCCGCTCACTGGCTGAGCGAGGTGTGGGCGCAGCACCGAGGGTTGCGATCCCGTTGCCGGTCCCGGTCCGGTACGGGCGCGACACTGGGGTTGCGATCCGTTGCTGGACACGTAAAAAGACAAAAAGGAAAAAAAATATATATATAAAATGCTACAACCACAAACAAGAGCAGAATACCATAAAGGAACAAAGAGAACAAAAAAATTCTTTGAAATGAATATGACAGCAGAAATGTAAAACCCAATGGAGAGTTGGAAGATAAAGTTGCATAAATCTCCTACAAAGAATAGTAAGAAGGCAAAGAATGGAAAAAAAGAAAAGAAAATTAAAGAACCTGTCTATGAGGTCTACAATCAAAACTGCAGTAATTCTAGAAAATGTTAACAGAGAAGGTTGGATTTGGGGAAGGGAAAAATTAACAAAAAAACAACAAAAAAATCAAGAAAATTTCATAGGATTTAAGGGCATGAGTTTCCAGAATGAAATGTGCCCAGCAAAATGGATAAAAATAGACCTACACTGAAGCTATACTGTTAGGACAAAAAATAACCTACAAGAAACAAATTTTCCACAGACAAAAATTGGGTTTTCTACCGTAATAACTTCGTATAGCATACATTATACGAAGTTATACGAGTGGACTGAGCCGGGAAGATCAGCCTACATGGTCAGGCACCATCCAATCAGTGAGGCATCTAGATAGAACAAAAAAGGCAGAGAAAAGGCAATTCTCTTTCTCCTGGAGTTAGGACACCCTTCTTCTCCTTCTCTTGCACACCAGAACTCCAGGCTCTCTGGCCTTTGTACTTCAGGACTTACAACAGTGGCCCCCAGCTTCTCAGGCCTTTAGCCTGGGAATTATACCATCAGCTTCCCTAACTCTGAGGCTTTCGGACTTGGACCAAGCCACTTACTGGCATCCCAGGGTCTCCAGCTTGCAGACAGTCTGACATGGAACTTCTCAGCCTTTCTCCTATTGGTTCTGACTCTCTGGATAGCCCTAGTACAATGAATCTACATTTTAATCAAGAATATATAGGCTGCAGCTGTGAGGCAAGGTGCCTTGAACTGGGAAATGAAAGATCTGATCTCTAACTTCCACTCTACCACTTACTGACCTTGTGTATAAAATAAAAAGGTTAGAAGTGTAAGGGACCTTAGAGACATCCAGTGTGATGTTCTCGCCCAGCGTCAAGTCGGTGATTTTTATAAGTTCATAAACCATTAGTGAAAATGCATTTTTTTTTTTTTTCCTTTTTGTCTTTTTTCGTGACCGGCAATGGATCGCAACCCTCAGTGTCGCGCCCGTACCGGGCCGGGACCGGCCACGGGATCGCAACCCTCGGTGTTGCTCCCCTCCTCGCTCAGCCAGTGAGCGGCCGGTCGAGGTAAACTAAATTTTTTAAAAAGTAAAAATAAAGGTTTTTAAAAAGAAAAAAGTAAGGATGAAAAATAAAAGCCCCATCAATTATCAATTCTCCCAAAACTTTTTTAAAATGCCAATTTAGTCTATATTCTTCAACTTGTTTTTCAACAGCCTAACTTTAACAGTATTATTTACATTAACCAACTAAAGAACTGTTTTCAAAACTCCATTTTTGAAAGCATTTAAATGAATTCTGCACGAACATGTACACACCAGCAATAACCCATTGCCCAGATACTTCATTGGAATTATTTGTTTAAATATTTATATTGGCATTTACATTTTGAACAACAATGGCTTATTACAAAGAAAACATAGTTATTGTGTTTATCATGCCAGGTCTGGGTAACTTTATTCAAGATTTGACAAAATGATCCCCAAAGTAATATAAATGTAGACACTTTTAAAAAGTCCATATGTGAAATGTCAAGAAAATTTTGAATTCAATCTGAAGTCAATATTAAGTCAAAAGTTGAACAAATTCTACAAATCATTAATATTATTTTCCTTCTTAAGTTCATTCTCTTTTCTGAGACAGGTTACCAACTTAGTTTTCTTTTCTTTGATATTTGGAATTATTTTAACATAGTTTACATTTTTAAGTTCTAAGTTTGTACTTATCCTGAATATCTTATTATAATTAAAAATATAAATCCAGGGGCCGGCCCGTGGCTCACTCGGGAGATTGCGGTGCTGATAACACCAAGGCCACAGGTTCGGATCCCATATAGGGATGGCCAGTTAGCTCACTGGCTGAGCGTGGTGCTGACAACACCAAGTCAAGGGTTAAGATCCCCTTACCGGTCATCTTTTAAAAAATAAAAATAAATAAAAATAAATCCAGAAGCCACAACTCTTCCTTACAGAAGAATTCCAATTAATAAATGTAAAAGGAATGAGAGAAATAGAAAATCGCCATTAGAACACCACAGTAGTAATTGCCACAAGCAAGATCTGCCAATGGATAGAAAAACGAGAGGGTGAAAGTTTAAGCAGAAACAGGACATTTGCATAGTCTCAAAGTGTCTCCAGAAAATATTTAGTAATTACAGACACCACCTTAGCATAGTGATCAAGGTTTACAACACCAGAAATACATTATAACATCAGGCATCACCTGTTATAATACACTGTCACAGACTGGAGGACACTATGGACACATGACAACTAAATGCAAGGTAGGATCCTAGACTGGATCTTGGAAAAGTTAAAGAACATTAGTGAAAAGACTAATAAAATATTTTTTAAACTCTCAACTTTAGTTAATAGTATTGTACGAAGGTTAATTTATTAATTTTGACAAATGTTCTATGGTTATATGGGACGTTAACCTAATGGGAAGGTGAGTTAAGGGTACACAAGAACTCTGTACTATTTTTACAACCCTTCTGTAAGTCTAAAATTATCTCAAAAATTTGAAAAATAACTGTTAGAAAACATATACATACACATATACATACAAATCAAGACTTAATGGAACTTGGCCTCTTGGGCACTCGGTAAGTTAAGCAGTGTTCTCTTCTGAATGAGTCATTGTCTCACTGGTAACTTAGCTTTAAGGTCCTCCCCCTTCTAAATTTTTAGTCTCAAGTATAATTTTATAATTTTCATAGAAAAGCCCCTTTAAAACATCCCTATATTAGGCCAAAAATGAAAACCCTAGAATAAAATTATCACCATATTATCTTACAACATCACCATCCCGACCCTAAGACCCAGCCAACATTTTATTGCATTTCTTCTCACCATCGGTTTGTATTGGTTTAGTTCTGTTTATGAGGAAAGGAGGTGACTATTACATTTAGTATCACTAATAGGCCTGGCAGTCTAGAAAAAATTATCACTTGGATATTTTATTAAGAAACATCTGTATTTCCAATAACAGATACTGTATACTAGAACTCACCTCAGATTTAAAAAGTAAGTTATTTATCTAAGTCTCTTCTATATAACAGCATAGAGCTACCCAAACGAGGCAAGCTAAGACCCTTTCAATATCCCTTCCTTAAATTTGGCTCTAAAATGACTGTTATTAATGGTCACAAACATCTTTTACGAAACAAGCAATTCTTTCTCTGTACTTTACTCTAGGGAAATAAAGATAAACATCAAATCTACCTTTAAAAAAAGAAAGTAGGGCTGGCCAGTTATCTCACTTGGGTAGAACATGGTTCTGATAACGCCAAGGTCAGGGTGCAGATCCCTGTAACAGCCAGCCAACAAAAAAATAAATAAATAAAAGTGAAAAGAATTAATTTCCTTACTCCAGCTATGGCTGACTCATTCCCTGAGCACAAATCCCTTTTTATCCTCACTGTATTTAACTATAAACTGAGGTGAAATCTGCTCATAGGGATCTTGATGGTGAAGTAATATTTTAGATGGAAAACAGTATTACCAAGTAATCACACTGACTACTTTTTGCAATCATTATTTCTACTCACTGTGGCACTTAACTTTTCATCTGTATCTAACACAATGTTCTCTATGGAAGGAGCAATACTGAAAAGATAATACACTTCGTTAAAAAAAAAAAAAAGGTAATTTTAAAGTGATCTTTATTTAAATATAACAAAAAATCAAAAGAGAAAAAATGGGGCCGGCCCAGTGGCGCACTCGGTAGAGTGCGGCGGCGCTCCCGCCGAGGGTTCGGATCCCATATAGAGACCGGTCCGCTCACTGGTTGAGCGTGGTGCGGGCGCGACACCGAGGGTTGCGATCCCGTTGCCGGTTGCGGTACGGGCGTGACACCGAGGGTTGTGATCCCGTTACCGGTCACGAAAAAAGACAAAAAGGAAAAAAAAAAAAGAAAAAATGTCCATGAACATTTTCGTTCTTATCTCAATGCCATTTCCAAATTCGCCTTCCACTACTACCATGAAAAGTAGAAGCGGTAAAAATTCTAAACTATCTATACAAAAAGGGAGACAAACAATTTACCTCTGGAGCTCACTACACATTACAATATATTGAAGCAATGAAAAGATATAAATTCATTCAGAATTGCCATACTATCCAGCTGTCAATACAGTCTCTTGAATAATTATATTAAACATATTACTACAAAATGTACTAAGAAATAGAGAATAATACTGTATTTGTGAACTACAAATAACAAAACAAAACAGAGGTCCAAGAAGGCTAAAGTCTAAACTGTAATTTACACATGAAATGTATGTTGAAAGCAGTCACACTGTACAAAAAATGTGACAAATAATCCATAGGTTTAAAAAAACAGCCTGTTTGTCTCATTATATCCAGTCTTGTCTGGTAGGTTTCTGATAAGCCTGTTACATAAAGTGTATTTCCCTCCTGCTGATAAGAAGCTAAAAGATATCCATAAATTTCTTAAGGAGTGAGTTCTACTTGGCAATATTGATAACTTTATAGTTTCCTATTACATTCATTCGTCTGAAAACTGAAAGCAACTCGTAACTAAAATGTTCTTTCACTCCTTTGCCAGTTTTTCAAATTTTAAATCAAAGGAAAGTTGGATGTATTGCTTCTTGTCATCAACAGGCATCTCGAAAAGAGGGTAATCAACCAAAATCAAGAGTTCTTTGGTCAAGTTAGTAACAGGCTTCCACTTTGTTCTAAATTCTTTCATAATCCTTTTTTTTCTAATTTTTCCAGTATGGCCTGGATCTTACAAACAGCCTCTTTCCTGGCCTGCCGGACAGAGTCCTGGCCCCCAGTTTCAACTGAATCCAGTTCCAAAAGTTCTTTGGTTAGCATTTCCTCCAGAAGCCAGTATGCTTTGTCTGTCTTTTTTCCTATGAACTCTTCTACTTCTTGCTCAAGATATTGAACCTTCTCCAGCACATGTATGATTTTTTTAATACTTGGGGGTGTACCTTCATCTGAAGATAAACATTCTTCAGGAAGACTATTACTTTGATCTTGATTGCTGGAATGTTCATTGGTGGCATTATCATATAGCTGAGGCTCAGCACTATATTGGACTTGGGAATCCAAAAGATGTGAATTATCATTGTTCATTGTCCCCGAGGATTCGTACTGATGGACACTGCAAGGCAAGCTGTGCCGGTTCATGCCTTGATTTGATTGGCTATAGGGATATGAGGAATCCTTGAAGTGGAAGAGCAAAAAGGGAAAAACAGCTGTTTTAATGGGACTCCATCAATATTGGATTTGTTAGCCCACATCTTTCACCTGACCAGAAAGGTACATGAAAGGATTCCCCACCAATAAAACTGAACCTCCTCCTTTAATCATTCGACAAAAAACCACAGTCCTAAGAAGATAAAAGGGAGTGCCCCGTCAAGTAAGAGACAGAGTATCCCTGAGTATAACGGTGGGAACCTCGCCTGAGGCAGGTCATCATCATGAACACCTCACCATCCATCCAGTGACTTAGTGATAGGAATTAGTTTTTTCCCTACAGAGTTAAACCCTCTAGACAGATCTTGAAAAGGAACATAGTAATAAGCAGGTGATGTTCAGTCTATGGTTTAATTTAAAATTAACCATACAAGCTAATAATGCAGATATTTCACATTGGTTTTGTCTTCTGTCTATAGATTATTTGAGGTAATAAAATACAATCCTTGATTGTGTTTAACATTCCAATAGTATTACAACAAACAGAAAATGAGCATTTTTCTATCTTTTAAAAAAAGAATGCAAACCTAAACCTTCTCTAAAAAATAAAGTCTATTTTAAAAAAGGAGGTAGAGTAGAGCTATAGGTGATAGTCACCAACTATGTGCAATTAGTCCTCATTTAGCACAGACCAATGCCTAAAAGTTCCATGTTGTACTCTCTTAATCACCTAAGCATCAAAGAAACAACATTTAGAGTCTCCTACCTTGGGCTGCTGGTGTGGTGGTGAAGAAGGTGACGGAGTAGAGCCACTGCTGGACCATGGTGAGGTACCTTCCGTCACGTAGAGACTCCCGTGTGATGCTGAGGGCGCAGCTGAAGGCCAGGGGTAACGGGCGCCCATTCCGTAAGCACCAGGAGAAGCCCATGTATCCTCTTGTGGTCGTACAGTTGGTCCTGCTTGTGGAACACTACGATTACCATCCCCATAAGGGTAATGGGGCAAGGTCATTCCAGGGTTCTACATTGAGAGGAAGAAATATGCTAGTCACTGCTAAAAAAAACTTAAAACAAGTAATGAAAATATTCTATTACAGGCAGATTCTGAGATACTTCCTCTCTGCTTAAGAGTATACTTTAGCTGTTACTGGGCTAAATTGCAGTAACTATAATTAATCAGTTGCAATAATTTCTCCAAGCCTAACATAAAATAACTTGGTTCCAAAGATATTATGGGCAGATGTGGTAACAATCAAACTCAGAAGGAATAAGGCCTAAAATTCAATAGATGAAGCATAGTAAAGTCTTTTGCACAGATACTATAAACAAATGGACCTATATGCTATAATGAAGCACAAATAAAGACACATTAAAATTCCTCTTGATGTAAACAGAGAAACAAACACAGTATCACTCATAGAATATCAAAAAATATAAACCTAACAGAGTACTAAAAAGACTAAGATAGGTAAACTTTCAAGCAACAACTCTCTAAAGATTTCTTTCAATATAAAAATTTTATGATTATGACATCTTTAAGGTACCTTCAGCCAAAATCCATTTACTGCAATAGCTGCTACAGGTAAGAAAGGCATTATCATAAAAGTAGTCCCTGCCTTCCCGATCACCTCCAGAAACATCACTGAACATGTGGAGTGTTTTCTTAAAACAGCACTAGTGTGAATAGATACCTTTCTATGGTTTACAATTCAGAGACTTTGAATTTTTTCCCAACAGAAAACTGCTCACCTGTGAAGTAGGATATCCCAGAACCTGCCCTCTAAGAGGGGGTGTTTCAGTCTGACAGTCCTGCTGGGGATACATCCAACGAGAGACTGTAGTTGGGCTGCTGCCAGGTGAACGGTAAGTGCTCGGAACTTCTGTGGAATAACTGGTTTGAGTATATCCAGGTGCATAATAGGCCCCTGAGTATGAGGCAGTATTTGCACCAGAGCCAGGGGGGTATGGTGGACCATATGCTCCATTTGTATAAGAATTCAAACTCTGAAAAAAAAGCAAAGTTGAGAGGAAAAAGATGAAGGGATAGAGGAGCTGTAATACCTTGGCTTAATGACCAACCTTGAAAAATTTAGGAAGAGATCAGTAACTAATGAAAATATGAACTACCTAAGCAATCTTTGAAGTAGTCTTTCTCTTATCTATTATAATCATATGCTAATATTGAACTCAGGCAATAACTGTGTCATAACAATGGGAGAGTATTTGTGATGAGAGATGAAATGACGAAATGAGGAAGTGATGGCCTTAGAGCAGTCATTTCCTTAAGCATATCCAACAACTATACCTAACAACAGAGGAGAACTTGTACCCACAGGCTGGGGAGGGGATTCTGGGAAACCTGGGAGAATGGCTACAGAAAGAAGAAAATACCATGATATAACAGAAAGAAAAAAAAAAAAAAGACTACTGAGACAGACCTAGCTTTGCCATACGCTTTGCATTTAACCACTCTTAGCTTCAGTTTCTCCATCAGGAAAATGAAGATCATAAAAACTTATCTTGCAAGGTTATTGTGAAAATTAAATCAGATGACATAAATAAAAGGCTTAAAATAGTGTCTGGCACATAGTACACTCAATAAATTGTAATTATTTGTATTATCATTGTTGTTAGTATTATTATGGTAGAGTCATGAAATGAACCCAGATCTAACTCCAAAGTCCACATTCTTTGTATTATACCACCACTCTGCTTCCCAGGTAATACCAGTGCAGTACATTGAATGTCCCCCTAAACTCACTAAAGTTTAATAGTTACTGTAACTGTTGAGGGTGGGAAATCTTATTATGGTAAATGAAAGGTGTGGCCTTGAAGAGGTGATCAAATTGTGAAGACCACACCCAAGTAAATGGATTAATCCATTGGTGGTTTAACGGTGGTCATGGGCATAGTTCTGAGCACTTTAAAAGGAGAAAGGGCGAGGAGTTAGTGCTCTCTGCTCCACCATCTACCATGTGAGAACCCTAAGTCACTGTTGCCACCAACAAGGCCTTCACTAGATGTGTTCCCTGGAATTTGGACTTCCCAGCCTCTGAAACTGTAAGCAATAAATTTGATTTTCTTACAAATTACCCAGTTCGAGGTATTTTGTTATAAGCAACATAAACAGACTAATATAACCAATAACAGACAACAGACACAAATTCCTCGTATACTGCTTATTGTAGTTTTAAATCACCTATCAAGGCTATTATTGACATTCAGCATTCTCAGTTTAATAATCCAAACAAGAGTAAAGCTAAACACTAAATTTTAAATGATTACCTTAATGTTTTCTATTAATTTCTACCTTAGCCTTTTAAAATAGTAAAAATACAGAATCAAGTTTTCCTGTGCTCATCTTTGTCTCTAAGGCTACATGTTCTTTCTCACTTACGTACAAGAATACACATGGCCAAAGAATTCCATGCAGGGCCAGGTGCAATGGAAGAGCCAGCAATGCATTCCCTGAGCAGAAGGGCAATGAACCACCTCTTTGTTAAAGATACTAAGAGGCTGCTACGGTTTTCAACACAAAAAATGCCTTAATATAACCTACATAGTTGCAGAGTTGATAAAATATCATGCGACTTTTTGTACTGTTATTCACCTTCTAGAAATCCATTCTAAGGAAATGATTCAACTAGAGAAAAAGATAAAGGCCAAGGTCAAGAGTTTAGATCTCCATACTGGCCAGCTGACAAAAAAAAAGTTACAGGCATGAAGTTGTTCATCACAGCATTATTTATAATAACACAAAATTGTAAACAATCTAAATGTCACATAATAATGGAATGATTAAATAGATTAGAGACTATTCATTTAAGAAATTTTATTCAGTCTTAAAATTTTACTGTTAGAACCAACCAGATATTTAATGATATTAAAGAATTATTTTTAGGCGTTTTCTTCCTTTAAAGTTTTAATAATGGCACTGTGGTTATGTTTTTTAAACTTCCTTAAATTTTTTTTTTCCTTTTTGTCTTTTTTCGTGACCGGCAACGGATCGCAACCCTCAGTGCCGCGCCCGGACCGGGACTGGCAACGGGATCACAACCCTCGGTGTCGCACCCGCACCTTGCTCAGCCAGTGAGCGGCCGGTCTGTATGTGGGATCCGAACCCTCGGCGGGAGCGCAGCCACGCTCCCAAGCGGCGCACTGTAAGAATGCGCCACCAGGCCGGCCCCAAAACTTCCTTAAATTTTAAAGATACTTACTTAGGTATTTACAAGTGACATAATACGATGTGTTGAATTTGCTTCAAAATACTCTAAGGAAATCCTCCAAGGATAAATACAAGTATTGACACTTGTTGAAGTTGAAAGATGGGTACATGAAAGTTCACTACTTTTATGTTTGAAAATCTCCTTAATTCCTGGAACTACTTCCTGGTTTTGAGATTTTTTTCATGAGTTTATACCTTATTTTCCCAAATAACCGTTTGGAAAATAACAATGTGTGTCAACGGATCACAAAGCTGCAAGATGCATATTTACAAAAGAACATGAAGTCAAAAGAATATCAGCCATGCAGCTGCTACAGATGTTTGCTAAGGATGAGTTAATGATTATATTTCAGAAACGTCTTAGACTTTTTAAGACTTCATCTGAAAAGCAGCTTGTGTGAAAGTTGCCAGTGCCAAGATGGAGTCACTTACATGAGCCCCAAAGCAAAGGGGAACTGGGAGGTCACAAAAGAGGGGTTCTCATATACACACGTGTGAGACAACTATCACAAGGACTTTCTAAACAACCCCAAGGAATCCCTGCTAATCCTACACACGTGTCTATAATAGAATGTATTGCAAAAAAATTCCTCAAGACTGCAGCATTTCAGATAAACTGCCCTCACAAAAATACTTGCCTACCGATGGCTGTTTCCATCAATGACTTAACACCAGCTCCTACAGCAGGCCCCTGTGACCAATGATGTTTGTCTTGAAACAGTTTATGTGAGCTTCGTCTTTTTCCTTTAAAAGTTTCCCCTCAACCCAACCTCTCCAGATGGGCCTGTGACTTGTCATAGCAAGTGTATCCCAGATTATTACCCTGTTTATTCCTGAATGAAGTAATGCATTCTTGATTTATTAGAGAGAGCTATTTCTGAATTAAAAATTTTAAGATTCATAAAACCTACCAAACAGAAGAATAACCATGTGGCAAGACTAACACAGGCAGCTAGGTGGCAAGTGAATGATACCATTTTATTTCTTAACAAGGAAACTAACCAGTCATATCTATATAACACTCTAGAATCTATTTTGGTTAGAAGATAAATGTGTAACCCCCATGTAATGTTTCACCAGAAAATACACATGTGCTAATCCCAAACAGCTGAATGTCTAGATACTATTGGGTTATTTAAAAATACGATTTGTATACTGTATCTAAAAGCTCTCTCACATTATTGCTGTTGCTTTCAAAAAGTTATTACTAAATTAGGAGTGAATCTTTCTTGAACATATATAATATATGAATGTAATAATTTTTTTTACATAAGGGAATATAATGTCATGAGAAAAAACAACCTTCATCAAAAAGATCATTCAGTGAAATCAGAAAAATTAACATTACTGAGTGAACTTATAACTCATGACATTAAGGAGTTTTGTCTTCCCATTACATTAACTATAAAAGTAATACATAGTACTCCCCAAATTGATCTATGTGCAATTACAATGAAAATTCCAGCTGCTTTTTCTGCAGAAATTAAGTTTATCCTAAAATTCATATGGAAATGCAAGGAAACCAGAATAGCCAAAACAATCTTGAAAAAGAAGAAAGTTGGAGGAGTCATACTTCCTGATTTCAAAATTTACTACAAATCTACAGTAATCAAAACAGTTCGGTACTGGCTTAACAAGAGACATATTGATCAATGGAACAGAATTGAGAGTCTGGAAATAAATGCTTACATTTATGGTCAATTGATTTTCAACAAAGGTACAGTACAAAGAAAATTCAATGGGGAAAGAATAGTCTCTTTGAACAGATAGTGCTGGGATTTGTGGTTATCCACATGCAAAAAAAATGAAGTTGGACTTACTTCGCACCATATTATAAAAATTAACTCAAAATGAATTATAGGGGCCGGCCCGGTGGCGCACTCAGTAGAGTGCAGCGCTTGGGAGTGCGGCGGTGCTCCCGCTGAGGGTTCGGATCCCATGTAGAGACCGGTCCGCTCACTGGTTGAGCGCGGTGCGGGCGCGACACCGAGGGTTGCGATCCCGTTGCCGGTCGTGGTACGGGCATGACACCGAGGGTTGTGATCCCGTTACCGGTCACGAAAAAAGACAAAAAGGAAAAAAAAATGAATTATAGGCCTAAATTAAGAGCTAAAAGTATTTTTAAAGGTTTTTAGAAGAAAACAGAGGAATAAATCTTTGTGACCTTGGGTTAGTCAAAGCCGTCCTAGATATGACACCAAAAGCAAGAGCAACAAAAGAAAAAAATAGATAAATTAGACTTCATCAAAACTAAAAACGTTTGTGCTTCAAAGGACACCATCAAGAGAGAGAAAAGACAACTCACAGAATGGGAGAAACTATTTGCAAACCATGTATTTGATAAGAGATTTATATCTAGAATATTTAAAGAATGCTTAAAATTCAACAATAAAACAATAAATAACCCAATTTAAAAATGGGCAAAAGATCTCAATAGACATTTCTCCAAACAAGACATACAAACGGCTAATGAGCATATGAAAAGATGTTCAACATCATTAGTCATCAGAACTGGAAATCAAAACCACAATGAAATACCACTTTACACTCACTAAAATGGCTACAATTAAAAAAAGAAAAAGAAAATAACAAGCATTGACAAGGATGTGGAGAAACTGCAACCCTCATACATTGCTGATGAGAATATGAAATGGTGCAGCCACTTTGGAAAACAGTTTGCCAGTTCTTCAAATTATTAAACATAGGGTTACCATATGACCCAGCAATTCCACTTCTAGATATATATCCAAGAGAACTGACAACATATTTCTACATAACAACTTGTACACGAATGATTATAGAAGCCTTATTCATAATAGCCAAAAAGCAGAAACAACCCAAATCTCTATCAATTCTATCAAATCTCTATATTGAATAGATAAACTAAATGTGGTATATCCCCACAATGTGGATGAACCTTGAAAACATTATGCTAAGTGAAAGAAGCCAGAAACAAAAGTTTACATATTGCATGATTCCATATAAAATGTCCAGAACAGATAAATCCATATAGAAAGAAAGTAGATTAGAGGTTGCCAGGGGCTTGGAGGAGGGAGGAATGAGGTGATAAGTACAGGATTTCTATGTGGGATAATGAAAATGTTCCAGAATTAGATAGTCATGATGGTTGCACAACTTTGTGAATATACTAAAAACCCACTGAACTGTATGCTTTAAAGGGTGAATTTTATGAATTGTGGCCAAACCACAAGCATGTAACATTTAGCAATAACAATGTTGATATGGGTTGAATGTGCCCCCCAAACATTTCTTGTATTAGAAACTTAATCCCCACTGTGACAGTGTTAAGAAGGTGGGAAATCCTATTATTGTAATTGAAAGGTGGGGCTTTTGAGAGGTGATTAGATTGTGAGGACTGTACCCTTGTGAATGGATTGGTCCACTCATGGAGTCATGTGCATGGTTCTGATGGCTTTATAAGGAGAGCAAGTGAGAAGCTTAGCTTTCCCTCTCCCTCTTTCTCACACTCTCTCTCTATCTCAGTCATTCCCACCATGTGACACCCTGCAAAGAAGGCCAACACAAGATGTGCCACCTGGTCTGTGGACTGCCAGGTTGGAACTGTAAGAAATAAATTCTATTTCTTTATAAATTACCCAGTTTCAGGTATTCTGTTATAAGCAACAGAAACAGACTAATACAAAGGTCTACTTCTCAATTTCAGTCATAGGAATGAGGATGACACAAGTAAAATGGAAGTTTGTGATAAGTAGTAACATGACCTTTTCTTTATTTTTTATTCCACTATCTCTGATCAACGTCATTTTAAAGTTTACATATGTACATGATCATTATTAAAAAAATTAATTGCTTTTATATTTTCCCTTAAGTAAACAAGCAAATCTTCCTCTAACTTTAATAAAAATTCTTCTGGCTCAAAATCAATCTTAAAAGACTATATAACCACTAGTAAAAACCATTTTGAAAAGTAACTTGGCTGTATCTAATAAAGATATATATACCAAAACCCAACAATTCCATACCCTAGGAAAATTCTTGTCTCATACGTGTACAATAGAAAAATGAAAAATAACGTTGAGCAAGGTATAGGAGGGTGTTAGTATGAAACCACAAATATGAAGTTTAAAAACATATTAAATAATACTATATAAAGTTTATGGATATATATACAAGTAGTAAAAGCATAAAAACATATGATAATAAATATAACTTCAGGAAATTGAAAGATGTGTTATATGGGGCTTCAATTGTATTTGTTTTACTTTTAAAAAATCTGAAACAAATGTGGCAAACTTAAAAATTGACAAAGCTAGGTGCTAGATAAAAAGATGTACGTATTTTCTGTATTCTTTTTGTATGCTTTAAATATTTAAAATTAAATATTTGTTATGAGAAGTCAAATTTAAAAAAATAAGGACATTTTATATTTGTCCCCAAATCCTGAGAAATAACGTTATGCCTCAAGCTACCTTTGCCATAGGTAATATTTGCCTAGATAGTTCCTTGTCTCTAAGCTAAACACATTAGGATAAAATTGATGAAGTCCATTAAGTAAAAAAGTGTTTTAAAAACCCCACACATCACTATATGAAATCTCCAAAGGTTCTGAAAATAAATCAATTCATTAAGAAAAAATTGAGAAAGTCTCTGCCAATTTTAAACCATACCTGGCCTTGCAGTTCTGGTCTTACAGGATATGTACTTGGGTAAGGAGCCCTAGGTTGTGCAGGAGAATTCCAATAGTTAGAATTGTAGCTAGGATATGGTGGCTGCTCCTAAGAAAAAAAGAAAAATAAATTCACTTTTAATAACATTCGTACATCATTGTGAGAGAGACTGATAGAGGCAGGTTATAAGTAAAAAAAAAAAAAAAAAAAAAAGCAATAGACAAGGAGTGGACCCTGCTATAAAACCACTCACTATTAAACTGATGCAAATCTATTATAAGGTAAATCGCATGCCCTAGAACAGAATAATTCTTGACTGTTTAGTAAAAGTCTGTTCTTATGCATTATGTCAATGCCACCATACCAAATGATATATTATAAAAAAAAATGACACAGTGGAAACTATGTCAGGATGATTAGCAAAACCATAGATATTAGATTGCCTTTATCCCTCTCCAACCACTACTTTTCATCACTACTAATTTAATTAGTGCAACAAAACAATTCTTTGCCACTGTTAAGAGTTTTTACCTAATAACTTTGGAACATGAAGTATTACTACTAAGGTTTACTTCACGCACATAACTCTTTAACATTCAACTTCTTTGCCTGGCCACACTCTAGTTTATTTCTTATTCCTCTACTCTCTGTTATGGCTAAGCTTTCTGCTGGGAGCTTATAACCTCAGAGTCAGGACTTGATGTAGAATAATTAACACTACAAGGAGAAAATTTAGCTATGACAATAGTCTCTTCAGACTTTCTATGTACTAAATCTACCAATTTATCCATATCTGTTACTGTCTTCCCAGAAAGCATAAGTGAAGTGTCCCTGGTCCTATTATTAAGGACAATTCCTCCATTTGGTTCTGGACCGCACAGGAACAGCTATCTCTTCTCTTTCATTTATCGTGTTTTTACTAAGAGCACAGATCATCTCCATTAGAATACAAATCTGCCCTCAAGACTACCCTAAACGAATATTAAACCATATTTTAAAACTACAATAACTAACAATGTGATAAATGATTTGGTTTTTAGATAAACAAGAATAACAATAACTAGATCACTATTGAAGCTGAGTGACTAATACTTGGGAGTTTTATACTCTAGTCTCTCTACTTCTATATATGTCTGAAAGTTTCTAAAATAAAGAGTTAAAAAACAGAAACTGTCGTTTGCAAGATGGCGACGGGTCTGGAGCGGCCGTGCCAGGAGACAGCGCGATCCTGAGAAGTGTGC